GAGGTTCTTATGATCGGTCCAGACAATAAAGGGAACCCCTGAACCCTCTAACCAATGACGCCACTCTTCCAGCACTAACTTGACTGCCAACAACTCTCGGTTACCAATGTCATAGTTACGTTCGGCAGGCGACAAGCGATGGGAGAAAAACGCGCAAGGATGCATCTTGTCGTCCGAGGAAGAGCGTTTGGACAGCACCGCACCTACTCCCACCTCTGACGCATCGACCTCCACCACGAACTGACGTGTAGAGTCAGGGGTTCCGAGAATGGAAGCCGAAACGAAGCGGCTCTTGAGGTTGGTAAATGCAGCTTCGGCTGCACTAGACCACCTGAACGTTGTCTTGGTGGAGGTCAAGGCGGTCAGAGGAGTGGCTAGTTGGCTGAAATTGTGAATAAAACGCCGGTAGAAATGGCGAACCCCAGGAACCTCTGTAGGGCCTTACGGGAATCTGGGGTTGGCCAAGCCACCACAGCCTTAACCTTATCGGGATCCATGCGTATTCCCTCGGGCGAGATGATGTACCCCAAAAATGGTTTGACAAAAAGCCCATTCTCGAACAGCCTCTGGAACACTTGTCTGACGTGCTGAACGTGCTCCTGGAGAGAAGAGGAAAATATCAATATGTCATCCAGGTAGACATATATGAACTGATCGACCATGTCTCTCAGCATGTCATTAACGAGTGCTTGGAAAACCGCGGGGGGAGTTGGATAACCCGAAGGGCATAACAAGATATTCAAAGTGCCCCCTGGGGGTGTTAAACGCGGTTTTCCACTCATCCCCCTCCCTTATGTGGACCAAATTATATGCATTACGCAAATCCAGCTTGGAAAAGATGGACGCTCCCTGCAACCAGAAGAGGAAAATATCAATATGTCATCCAGGTAGACATATGAACTGATCGACCATGTCTCTCAGCATGTCATTAACGAGTGCTTGGAAAACCGCGGGGGGAGTTGGATAACCCGAAGGGCATAACAAGATATTCAAAGTGCCCCCTGGGGGTGTTAAACGCGGTTTTTCACTCATCCCCCTCCCTTATGTGGACCAAATTATATGCATTACGCAAATCCAGCTTGGAAAAGATGGACGCTCCCTGCAACCGTTCGAAAGCTGAAGACATCAACGGCAAAGGATAAGTATTCTTTACCGTGATGTTGTTCAGCCCTCGGTAGTCAATGCACGGTCGCAGGGAACAGTCCTTCTTGGCCACTAAAAAAAACCCTGCCCCAGTGGGAGAAGAGGAAGAGCGGATGAGTCCGGCTGCCAGAGAATCAGAAATGTATTTCTCCATGGCCT